TAATGTTGGGATAGTAGCGTTGCAGACTGCAGAGGAGAGTGGGCAGTAAGGCTCCCTCATGCACCACCCCATGGAAAACCTGCACCCCTCCTTGCAGACGAGGCTAGATCGGTAGATTCACTCCTGCCCAAGCCCCAAATGCACCATACTTTAATCTTTATTACAGTGTATTTTACTCAGTCTAATACTCTAATGCCAGACGACTCGTCAAGGACGAATCTCACGCATTGACGGGCCAAACAACATATTTTTAATCTAACTTACAAATTACTTAAAATGACTAAATTATTGGCTGAAGCATGGAATTTGGAAATTTCCATCGTAATATGATATGAAGTGTAAACACAAAGTTACAGCACTCATAGGAGGTATGAACTTGACCCATACTTCGAAGAATCACAAAGAATTGCTATTGATGCCAGGAAACGAAAACTGCTCATAACAATGTCAAGAGAAGACAGTGGTCGTTGTAGTTTTACCGTTTCGTGTAAAGTTTGTAACACTACCCATCTTAAACAGTTGGAATAACCAGTATTCTGTGACCATACCCTTAGGGAAAAGCCCATGTGTTTACCATTGACATTTTCCCAACTCATTTTCGCCCCGAGGTACCGTTGAAGGTCAAGTATACTGAAAGTCATGTGAGCCACGCATGATCAGATTTACAACTTTTTGTAAGCAAATTTTGTCACAAAATCAAAATATTTCGTTCGAGTGAATTCTATTATTGACTTGCGATCCCGTTAGAATATTCTATTGCCATATTCTACAGAAGGTATACTCCGTCAGTAACTCTTGATCACAAAATTTGCTGCACTACAATGAATGTATTGAGGCCAAAATTTAGCTCAAAAATATATGAAAATTACCTGTACTATAAATAAGTACCAAAAACGAAATATAAGAATACATTTCAACACAATTTTCGAAATTTGGAATCGGTATATAACTTTGGACAAGCGCACGAAGGACGAAAATTTGTAACATGATATAAATCGCACAAAAAGCTTCAGTCATCGCCAAAGAATCTTAAAGTTACCATAAGTTAGTCTGTAACTCAAGAAAGTTTGGCCGTCCTCTGTCGAGCTGCGGTTCTATTGTATGTTAATTTCAAACAGCTAAATTTGCTCGCTTGATGAACTTTAGTCAAAACAGAAATGGGTATTTGTCTACAACACGAGTTCATTGTATTCTGTTTTTAGAAATCAGGCTCTGCTATCAGGGTAGTTTTTACAATGCACTTTGACCAATTTGATTCAATATTTTAGCATAGATTATTTGACGATTTACAAGCACAAGTCAGAGTAGTAATTGTTCGGCTTGTTCCGAAGAAATTTTATAAATTTTAATAACACGTGGCCGTGGGAATCGAAGCCATTTAAGTGCATTAGAACCACAATTAGAATATATTTTAGAACATAATTTGTATTCTTTTTTCTATATTACACCATAAATTAACTCGATTTTCATAATACTGTACTTCATCGCGGACAGAAGAACTACTAGTATAGGTTATATTGACACAAACATTCGTATTTCGAGAGGAAGCAAATTAAACAGGGGAATTAACAATTTCAATATCAAATATATTCAGAGACAATGGTAGTCTGAACTCTGAAAGGAATATCAACTCAAAGACATTGTCATTGAGTTTGTTTAGTACTACAAAAGTTTGCGAAGCAACGAATCCTTAATATTGATTGGCTAGTAAACTAGATTTATTTGCTTTATTGCCTTCATAAACAACTGTATGTCTCATATTCAATGTCTCTGTCTCATACGCAGTAAGCTTGATTTGTCAGCAAGTCGTGAACATGTAAAGCAACAACTAGAAAGGTTTATTAAGCAATCAATCCCAGCACTTTAGACAGCAAATTCACTTCAATAATTCCTCGACACAGCTTATAAAACATGAATTCATACACAGGTATAAAATCAACAACACAATACAGACAAAAGTTCAATAGTTCATTACCTGATATATTCTCAAACGCCTGTGCCGTCTTAATATGTGAAGAGCCATTGCTCAATTTTCGCTGAACAAGTGGCGTCAAGCAAGCTGCTCGCGAAAGAGCATTCCCGCTTAAAACTTTTCTTAGCGAAGACAACATCCTTGCTTGCCAGTTGGAAGAGATTAATCGCTTGAAACCAGTGTTTCGTCCATTTTATAGCCTTCAAAATAATACCGGATATGCGCATTTGTAATTCTATTTGGACATATTTGTCGAAGCAGTTGCATGCTATTTCAAAATGCTACATCCAAAATGTCGCTTTATATTACATTCTATATATTTTCGTGTTCTTTAAAACGCTATGTTTAATATATTTCTCAAATGTTTTTCGTTTTAAATATCGGTATAGAAAAAAGGCTTTATTAATTAAAGTTTATTTATTATCAGATATGTTTTGAACAATTGAACCATAGTAACCTATTAGCCGGAAGCTCTCTGACCGAGTCACAATGTGGGCGATTTGTGTGCTTGATTTACACAGTACAGCTCGATGACACGACAATGACGATGTGTAAACACGTAAAAACGCACCAGTTGTTACAGGTCTGCAAACCAGCTGTCACAAATCTGTGTTCGCAATGCTTGTTTCCAGTTGTTG